AACCTCTGTGAAGTGGTTTAATAGTTTTAATAGCAATAGCACTTAGACTTATACACCGCTTCACGGTGCCTTACAGCCCTCTCTGAGCGGTTTACAGAGTCAGCCTCTTGCCCCCCCAACAATCTGGGTCCTCGTTTTACCTACCTCGGAAGGTTGAATCAACCTTGAGATGGTGAGGATCGAACTGCCGAACTGTTGGCAGCCGGCAGTCAGAGAAATAGCCTGCAGTACTGCATTCTAACTGCTGCGCCACCATGGCTCTTTAAGCCATCCCAGTTCATCCATCAGCATATTTAATATTTATGTGAGCAATTTGTCTCCTGTCTCATTACTTGTGAACTCTAGGCAGTTAAGTAATTTCACACACTGGCTGGAGTCACACATTGTTGTTTTTTTAAACCATGCTTTGTTGAATAAGCCACAGTTGTCTAAATTTGGTTGTGCTAAGGCCAAGATGTTGAGTTTTATTTCTTGGCTAGGGTGGTACAGCGGCATGCCTTGAATACGAAATGCAGGCCAGTATGGAAAAACCACCTCTGTTTTTTTCTCTGCCATCCTTCCACTTGCTATTGCAGTAGTTATTGTAGAATGAGAAGAGGCTGGGATATTTTTTTTTCCTTATTCCCCCTTTATTCCCCCCCCCCCTCCCCGCCCCGGTGTCTTTCAGAGACTTAAGTGGGAATCCGTTTTTTTGTGATTGCAACCTGGCCTGGCTCCCCCATTGGGTTGAAGAGAGAAACGTGAAAGTGTCCCGTCCGTCCGAGACTCAGTGCGCTCAGCCTCTGGAATTGGCCGACCTTCCGGTTTTCAATGTCTCCTTCAGTGACGCAACTTGCGGTAAGGCAGAGAAGGGCGGGGGCATGTGGATCAGCAGTAGGGAAGGAAACCCTGGAGAGCAAAAACCCAGAAGTCATTCAGCCACGATCACGGCCCATAAAACAGGGTGTCATGCCCCTGTCGGAGACTGAATCCAAGGAGGAAGACAAACAGCTGACAGGGAGCTGGAGTGTGGCTCCGTTGGCTGTGGAGGAAACTGGGGAAGGGCAAAGTCTGGCTGGGCAGAGCAGGAGAGAGGTAGAACAAGGGAGAGGGAGTTCAGAGAAAGACCCAGGCCCACCCCCTCTTCATCCTAGGGCACAAAGGGAGGGACGGAGAAGAGAGCAACGTGGGTTGCATGGCTTACGGGGGAGGAAAGGGCCCTGATTCTCTTCATTAGCCACATCTGGGAAGAGAGTTTAAAAGAAATGCATGCTGAGTGCGGCAGCTGCTGGGAGCAAACGTGAGTTTATCTTGGGTTGACTCTGTTTATCTGTGTTCCTGGCATCTTCCCAACCGTGTTGAATTATTACCATTCCTTCACATCTGGAATTGTTGCTCCTGCCCTGCCGGACTAATGCTCTCATTTTGCCTTGATTGGACTTGATAGTTCAAGTTTTTGTTGACCATGTTTTGAACTTGATTCTCTGCAGCCAAAGGCTGTTCCTGGGAGAGTTTTTCTCCAGCCAGAAGGTAACCAGGACAACATTGGAGGCAAAGTTGGAGCTAATAAAGGGACTTCTACTGATTATCTGACTGTGTTGCCTTTGTGCCAGGCCCCTTTGGGTCGTCACACAGGGCCCCAGTTTTGCGCAGGTCACCATTTTACATAAATGGACATCTGAGTTGTCCATTTATGCAAAGGTCACTATCTAGGCAAAGGAGGATGAAACCCTCTTTTTAAGTCTAAGAGAAACAAGAAGCAGTTCGGTTGGATCCCTCCCTGATTCACAGGAGCCCTAAAGGTCCTTTTTTCCCCCCAAAAGGCAACTGGACTTTCTTAGTTTTTTTAATTTGAAAACAACAACAAGAGCAACAAGCAAACAAGAAAGTTTTCCTTTTGGAAAAAAAAGCACCTTTGGGACAACCATGACCTGGATGATTGAGAATCTCCGTAGACTGACTCACAGGAGTATAAGAAATGGGGAGAAGGTATAGTCACAATAACACAATAATAACATCAATGTTCTGGTCTACTAATGAGGTTGACTATTGCTAGCCTAGGGAATCTCCCTCCACTTCACCCATCCTCTCTCAGGATGCGTGGCCCAGAATTACACGCAGAGGTGGGATTCAGCCGGTTCTTACCAGTTCTGGAGAACTGGTAGTGGAAATTTTCAGTAGTTCAGAGAACCGGCCAATACCGCCTCTGACTGGCCCCACCAACCCCATCTCTTCTCTGCCTCCCATTGAGTCCCAGCCGATCGGCTGGGTCTCCTTTTGTTGCCCTGCACAGGAGAACAGAGCTGGAAAGCAGGTTAGTGGGGTGGGGAGGGAATGGGGATTTTGTAGTATCCTTCCTTTGCCACACCCACCAAGCCACACCACGCCCACAGAATGGTAGTAAAAAAATTTGAATCCTACCACTGGTTACGGGGTCCGTGGCCTGCTCTGCAGAGAGCATCCCCAGAGGGGATAAGATGGCAGGAGTGGACTGGCTGCCTGACCTGGCTGTGCTTTTTCTGTTGCTTCTCCTTCCAGGAGCTGATTATGTTGCCTGCCTGCCGGACAACAGCACAGGCGGAGCCGAGTCCGTCGTCCGATTCACTTCCCGTTTGCCACAGAACCTGACGGAGGAGATGTGCAGTGCACTGTGCTATGCCGACGGGCAAGACTATGGGGGCTTCAGTGAGGAAGCCGACTGCTTTTGTGGCTTTGCTCTGGAGCCCAACGTTTCCTCCGGCTGTTTGCCCTTCTGTGCCAGGCCCCTGGCCGGACCCCTCTGTGGGGGCCCAATGCTGCTTTCCAGGGTCTTCCCGGCTGTGCTGCCCGTGTCCTTGGAGGGCCCCAGGACACCGTGCAATGCTTACCAAGAGGTGGCTTTCATTCTCCACCTACCGGTTGCTGTGGGAACCATTCAGTGGGACTTGGGGGATGAAACGGGGCTTTTCAATACCACCAAGACCATCGTCCTTCAGGTCTACACATTGCCAGGACTCTTCAACGTCACAGCCACTGTTTTTGTCAGCAACCGGTTTATCTCGGCGCAGACCAAAATCGAGGTACTGGCATCCCCAGAGGAAATGGCGCTTCAGTGTCCGTCTTTGGTGAAGACCAATGAAAGTTTACAGCTACATATAAGGAACCGCGGAGGAACTGGCCTCTCGGTGGCCTACAACATCACTGTCCAGGACCAGGAGCCTGGAAGAGGTGAGGAGTGAGTGAGCCATGCTGAAGCTCTGAATGGCCCTAAATGTCTTCATTCTGAGCTGAGCTGAACAAAGAATTCTGCCAACTGGGTGGACGGGCAATGTTACTCTTCCTTCTGAATCTCCCCCTTCGGGCAGCTTCTCATATATGTGGAGGGCATTGCTGTAAGCCATCCTTCCCCAGCCTCGAATCTCCAAGAACTATGATTCTTGGAGAATTCTTCTTGAAGATCTTCTCATGGTTAGAGACAGGTAACCGTCAAGAACCAAAAAAATGACCCTGGAAGATAAAGTGACTTGTTCCCAACCTCTAATTTTCCTTCCATAATAAATAGAAATCAAATTGAAAGTATCTTAGGATACAAGAGACAACTTCTAGTTTAGAGCAACCAAGCTTTGAAAAGTCTTAACAGCATTTTGCTGTGTTGCTTTGATCTGATTTCTGCTTCGGCTTGAGATGGAGGCTGTTGTGAGGAACTGTTATCCATAACGATAAGCAAGCCACCTCAGAGCTGGGACAAAGAGGATCTATGAAAATGCCCAAGACCAGGTAGTTGCAGCCCTCTCTCCTTCCAGGTGTGCAGGTTTGTAAGGCTCAGAATTTCTATGCTTCATCAATGCTAAGTGTTCTGGGAGAATGATGATTTAAGGGCCTGTCGTATCTCTTGTACAGCTTTAAACCTGAGTTTATGAAAAGAGAGCTTGGCACATCTGCTTCTTAATATTTGCAGATGATACTTAGCTGGCAGGAATCACTAACACTCTAGAAGATAGGCTCAAGATCCAGATGGATCTTGACAGACTTGAACACTGGGCCGTATCTAACAAAATGAAATTCAGAGTAGAGAAAAGTAAAGTCCTACACTTTGGCAAGAAAAACCAAAAGGACACATATAGACTGGGTGAAACCAGGCTCAATAGCAGTAACTCTGAGAGGGATCTTAGAGTCTTAGTGGACAACCAGCTAAATAGGAGCCAGCCGTGTGCAGCAGCAGCCAAAAAAGCTAATGCAATCCTAAGTTGTATTAACAGAAGGATACAATAGAGATCAAGGGAGGTACTAATACCACTCTATAAAGCCTTAGTAAGACTACATCTAGAGTACTGCATCCAGTTTTGGTCACCACATTATAAAAATATGTTCAGACTCTAGAAAAAGTACAGAGAAGAGCAACCAGGATGATTAGGGAACTGGAGACTAAGGCATATGAAGAACAGTTACAGGAACTGGGCTTGGCTAGTCTAGGGAAGAGAAGGACCAGGGGAGACAGGATAGCAGTCTTCCAATATTTGAGGGGCTGCCCCAGAGAGGAGGAAGGGGGTCAAGCTATTTTCCAAGGCACCCAAAGGCCAGACAAGGAATAATGGATGGAAACTGAACAAGGAGAGATTCAACCTGGAAATAAAGAGGAATTTTCTGACAGTGAGAACAATCAACCCATGGAACAGAAGTTGCCTTCAGAAGTTGTGGGAGCTTCATCACTGGAGGCTTTCAAGAAGAGATTGGAATGTCATTTGTCAGAAATGATATAGGGTCTCCTGCTTGGGGGGGCGGGGTTGGACTGGATGACCTACAAGTCCCTTCCAACTCTGTTAACCTGTAGTCTGTATCAGTATTTGAAACTCCTATCTTTCTTGGAATGATGTTGACCTTCCACAGATCAAAAGAGGGTGGAAAAGGAGACATGGCTTTATAGAAGAATCTTTGAGGTTTAGACAAAATTGATGTTTCTCTCAGATCATCAGTGAACTGGTAGTGTCAAGATGGCAGAACCTGTCTCTTCTGTGCACAGTCCAAAAGCTCACTCGTGCCTTTTTTTTTTTTTTTTTGCTGTGCAGTGGTCATTCCTGGTTGCCCCTCGGACAGCGTGGTCTTCCCTGGGAACAGACACTGCTATTGGCTCGGAGCGGAGAAAGCAGAATGGCTGGAGGCCCAGAGGCTTTGCCAAGAGCACGGCAGTGGAAGTCTGGCCTTTGTCAGCAGCCCCGAAATCCAGAGCTTCTTGGTCTCCAGTGTCACCAGGTAAGTTAGTAAAAACAGGCTCTGTCTATTTCAGGGGTCTCCACCCTTGGCCCCTTTAAGACTTGTGGATTTCAACTCCCAGAATTCCTCAGCCAGCACGGATGGCTGGAGAATTCTGGGAGTTGGAAGTCCACAAGTCTTAAAAGTTGCTAGGGTTAAGAAATGCCGCAGTTGCTTGAAATAACATGACCATTGGTTGGTAAGGCATATAGTTTGGTTTTGTATGGTATCCTTTGGTATGCCTGAGCAGGGGTTGGACTAGAAGACCTCCAAGGTCCCTTCCAACTCTGTTAATTCTGTTATTCTTGGTTAAAGGATGATACTGGAATTCAAGTATTTTTGCTGATGGATGTATAGGGGAGAGAACGTGTTAAAATGGGAATATTCCGATCTTCTGGTGCTAGTTCCTTATCTAACTTCCTCCTCATTTTGCTGGGACCAAGCAGGTTGGAGACAAACAACAAGGCGGGGCGACATTTGTGTGAAGAATTGGCAAGGATGGGTGAAGCTACCCCTCTTCTCCTATGAATACTCCATAGATGTTTCTTCTAAGCCAATGTTCATGTGAGAGATCAGTCAGTCTATCATTAAGCATGGTCCACACCCCACAACTTAGTACTTGCAGAGGATGTTCCAAAATAGGTGGAGGAGGCATGAAAGAAAATAAAGTTAAATTTATTTAGGCCCTTTTTTACTTGGGTATCTGAATACAGTGATTAGTCTCCGGTCACGTATATAATTTTTTTCTCCTTTAGAGCAGGGGTCTCCAACCTTGGCAACTTTAAGCCTGGAGGACTTCAACTCCCAGAATTCCCCAGCCAGCTTTGCTGGCTGGGGAATTCTGGGAGTTG